GGGAGGGGAAGGAGTGTGGATTTGGTGGTGGTGGTGATGTAGGGGGGGAGGGGGTGGGGGTGGGGTGTGTGGAGTGTGGTGCATGCGTGTATGTGTGTGTGCATGCGTGCGTGCATGCACGCGTGCGTGCATGCGTATAATATTTTTATGTGATGGTGGTGTTGATGGTGCGTGCATGCGTAGTGATGATAGTATTGGTTGGTGAATTGGTTAGTTAGTCGTGGTTGTGTTGTTGTGGTGCGTGCGTGCGTATGGTTGGTTATGTGATTGCTTGGGGGTGATTTGGTCATGGTGGGGGAGGGGAAGGAGTGTGGATTTGGTGGTGGTGGTGATGTAGGGTGAGGGGGAGGGGGTGGGGGGTGGGGGGTGTGGAGTGTGGTGCATGCGTGCATGCGTGCACGCGTGTATGTGTGCGTGCGTGCGTATACGAGTATGTGCATGTACACGTATGAGCATGTACGCGTACATGCGCATATGGTGAGAAATTGTGCGTGTACGCGTATTGTTGTAAAAATTATGCGTGCATGCGTTGTTAGGGTGTGTGTATGCGTTGTTGTAAAAATTGTGTGTGCGTGCGTATAATACATAAGAATATGCCATGATACTCTCTTATTGCTATACTTGAATGTCATGCCATGTTGTTAACGTTTGATTTATAATTGCAGGCCGGGACTTCTAGACAAGGTGGAGCTGGTGATGAGGATGATGATCAAGAGGACTGATTTGTTTTTTTACCTTTGAAAACAATGAATGAGTGTGTTGTATAAACAATACTTATCATGGTGTGTACTGTATAAACAACGCTTACTATGTTGGGATATTTTAATTAAATTATGTGTTATATATGCGTGAGAATGAATATTATACTGCTGATTGAACAGGATTTTAAATTTATTATATTATTGTACAGGTTTTTTCAATTTTCAAATTATTTTTTAAAAAAATATTGGAAGCTTTTAGCAACGGATTATCCGTCGCTAAATACACTTTTAGCGACGGAAAATAGATAATATTAACGACGGATTTTCCGTCGCTAAAGTTAATAGCGACGGAATATTCGTTTTTTTTATTTTTTTTATTTTTTCAAAAATAGTAATTAGCGACGGATTTTCCGTCGCTAATAGTTATTAGCGACGGATTTTCCGTAGCTAAAACATGTTTTAGCTACGGAAAATCCGTCGCTAAAGTTTTTTTAATTTTTTTAAATAAAGTATAGCGACGGATTATCCGTCGCTAATGTTTCGTCGCTAAAATTTAGCGACGGAATATCCGTCGCTAAAACACATGTTCGCTACCCTCACTATACGGACGATATTTTAGCGACGGAATTTTATATTTTCCGTCGCTAAAGGTTTTAGCGACGGATTTTCTACTTTTAGCGACGGATTTTTCCGTCGCTAAAAGTTATGTTTCCAGCAGTGTGAGTTGATATGTTTTTTCTTTGGTCATTAAATTTTTTTGCCTAGCATACCATTTTTAGGTTTTTGTGTGGCTTTCTCATTGGAGAACAAGCCGAAGCTCATGTTTTAGCAAATGCCTACAAAATATTAGAAATAAGCAGAAAATTCAAAGATTCAAGAATTAATCTTAATTTTACAGCAGATAAACCTCAAGGTTTTTTTAATCCTTTTACCTTTGGTAAAATTATGGAAGATTTTGCTCATGAGTGAAATTACTGAGTCTACCTACATATTGAACGAAGATTAAGCAAATGATAGTAACAATAGATATGTGCACGTGCAAATAAACATAGATGCCAATTCAATGACTATCTTGGAAAACAATTTTTTTAACTAAGGTGAAAATCATGAGTATCAGGAACATACCGAATTGTTTGTATATGTTATGTCACAATTATAGTTAGATCTTCTCTCAACAGCTTATCTCAATGCGCTCACAGGAAATGGTGTTCATGGTATGACTTGATTTTGTGGTAACCAAATGATTTTTTACGCCTTCTATTTAACATTGGAAGTGTATGAAGAAGTTCTGTAAACCTCATTAGCTATATTTCAGGAAATATTAAGATTTGGCCAACAATAACACCATTAGTAGCAAGGAATAAGGTATTGACCAAGATATTTCTTTTTATTCTCTTGGCATCAGTTGATATTTCTTTTTATTCTCTTGGCATCAGTTTAATTTAAGTTATTTTCATTTCATAGTGGTGACTGTTAATGATTATTTGGCACAATGTGATGCTGAGTGGATGGGTCAAATTCATCGCTTCCTTGGCCTTTCTGTTGGTCTCATACAGGTAAGCTGCAGTTTTATGGGTATCTTCCATCTTAGGTTTGATCCCTCTACCTAGTTGAACTAAGTTGGCAAACCATGTACCAATTTTCTTGCCAAGAAACATTTTCATTGACTTTATTTAAACATTGTTTAATTGTAGAGGGGCATGGATGCTGCTGAGAGAAGATCCAACTATAATTGTGACATAACATATACAAACAATTCGGTATGTTATTGATACTCATGATTTTCACCTTAGTTTAAAAAATGTTTTCCAAGATAGTCATTGAATTGGCATCTATATTTATTTGCACATGTGCACATATCTATTGTTACTATCATTTGCTTGATCTTCATTCAATATGTTTATGTTTTTGTCTCAATGAAGAGGATATATGTTGTCTGAATCTATATTTGTAACAAGTTGTATGCAGACAAGCTGCTAATACACATGAATTTCACCTTGGTTTTATCTATTTTTTAAGATACTTTATTAAATTTCTTTCGACATTTATGTTTGTATCACGTAGGCATATGCGTGGATTGTAACATTTGCTTGGTCTTCACAGGATGTATCATTTTAAGTACACAATCTGCTTGTTATATACATATTCACAGGATGTATTTTGGTCAATGTATTAATTAGTTTCTTTACATTTCAGTTAGTTTTTTAGTTAGTATTTTCCTCTTCAAGGTATTCTTAATTTTGTAGCAAGTATGGATTAATTATGATTTAATTGCTTCTAAAAGTGAGAATCTACAGTTTGTTATATATACTTTATCTCATAGTTAGTTGAATCTTGCAAGCTTTCCACTAAAAGGCTGTCTCAAAACTAGAGTACATAACCTTCTTGTTTGAAAGATAACATGGTGAGAAACTAATTCAATCATTTGTTATCAGAGTTTTATACATTCACTAAAACTTCATGTCTGAAAAATTTTTAAACTTTATATTAATTTTTTTGTAGGGTATTTTGCACGTTATGATACTTTTTTGTGTTTGATTTTAACTTTTATTTGCCTTACTGAGTACATTTCTTTCCATTGCAGCTACACAACAGAAGTTAGAGATGGATGGTGAAGGTAGGAAGAAGCCAGAGACGTGACGAAGGACAGGCTTGCAACGTTGATAAGACATGGGGTTCTCTGAATTCTTTATTGTTCAAGTCTACTTAATCATGATTGTTGGATTTGTTAATAAAACATGTGTCAAACACTTGTTATTTGTTTAATAGAATTGTGTTTAAATTTATTTACTAATGTTATTATTTGTTTTATTTTAATGATTGTGAAAATAAGCACTGATATTATTTTAGCTGTTAATATGCAACTTGTTTGGAGTATAATTTGATATTTGGTTTCTTTGTTGATGTGAATTGGAGCAAATTTGTTGTGGATGTTCAGGTTCAGTGTAGTTGACAGAAAAGATAATACTTCAGGCGATGCAAATTAGTGTCAATAAAAATATACATTTTTACCGACTAAAAAAATACTTTTGCCGACGCTAGATTACGTCGCCAAAAATAATATCTTTTAGTGACGCTATCTTGCGTCGCCAAAGGTATAGTTTTTAGCGACGTTTTAATCTGCGTCGCTAAAAGCTAAACTTTGGCCGACGCTAACTTGCGTCGCCAAAAGTATAGTTTTTAGCGATGAATAATTTTGCGTCGCTAAAAGCTATACTTTTGCTGACGCATAGCTTTTACCGACGCTGCATGCGTTGCCAAAAGTACACTTTTACCGACGCAAAATATTATGCGTCGCTAAAAGATATATTTTTCTAGACGCATGACGCATCGCCAAAGGTGTACTTTTGGCGATGCATTGTATTTACGTTGCCAAATACTTTCCTTGACGCACTTTTGGCGACGCGTTAGCGATGCTGCATTTTGCGTCAGGAAAGATTTTTCCCGACGTTTTTGTTTCGTCGGTAATGTTGTATTTTGTTGTAGTATATATATATATATAAACACACACACACGTGCGTTTTTGGTTTTATAGTTTACAAGTTTATATAAATATGAAACCTATATTATTATTTACATATATATACATGTTTCATATTTATCATTTTATTAAATGCATATTGTGCAAAACTTCATTTTTGCATAATATTAAGTTTTTGGTTTATAGACTTAACAACAATAGTTTGTATCTTTTATCAAGTCTATAAAATCAGTTTATAAAGTTTTCAAAATATGGTTTAGTCAAAATAACAAAACAAGTGTTGTTATATTTTCATGTTTTGGATTTGTTTTAGAAAATGATGAGTTTTCATAAATGTGAAGTACAATTTAAAAAATTCTTTTTGTAACATGTTTATAATCATTTCCCAAAGTTTTGTATTTTTTTAGAATTTATTTGTTATTTTTAAAGGCACTTTAAAAATCAGTTTTACTATTCAAAATAGGTTGATACAGTGTTATCAGTCGACTAATGAATGTGTTCAGTCGACTTAAGAAATTATATGGAATAACAAAAAGTTTTTGTTTTATTTTGGTCGACTGACCAGTCGACTAATGATCCATCAGTCGACTGATAAATATTGTCAGTCGACTGATGAGATGGAAAATGCCTCTAACGGTCAGCTCATCAGTCTACTGATGAAAACCGTCAGTCGACTGATGCTGTAACGGCTAGTTTTTTCCAACCTTATCATATTTCTGGTTTTTGGTCTTTTTACCTTGATTTTCTTGTGTTGTGGGGTCTCTATAAATACCCCTCATACCTCAGACCAAAAAAAGACCTAAGATAATTATTTAAAACAAGTTTAAGGGTGTTTTGTGTTTGTTTAAAAGAGTGTTTAAGAGTTTAGGTTGTGAAGAGAATTTTACAAGAAGAAGAGGAGATCACCCTTTGAGTTTGAGCTTCCACTCTTCTCTCTCTCCCTCTTGTTATCCATAGAGAAGTTTCCCTAAACTCTATTTCTAGCTATTTATTGTTTTGTTCATAATTTTCATAAGCTAGATTTAAATTGAGTTTAGTTAGATTTTGTTTTATTGAATCTCATTGTTACACACACCCACTTGAGCTTTTAGTATTTCATACATAGTATAATTGGGGTTGTGAGATATTATAACCTTGAGTTGTGCTAAATTGAGTTCTCATCTATTGTAGAGAATAATCATTATTGTTGAGCCTAATTGTGTAGATCACTTTATAATACACTAGTATACCAAGAGGAGTGTGCGGTAAGAGACAGTGTCGTCCCAAGAGGAGTGGGGTTTGTGGTAATGCCTAGAGAGAGGTTGTAGTTCCTAACACTTGAGGCACTTTAGGTGGTAGTTAGTGTAGTTAAATTGTAAGATTATGAACGTTGATCGGTAAGCGTTGAAAACCGATATTGTGTGGTGTAAACGTTTTCAGGTGATCGTTAAAAACCCGGTGCGATAGTGGATTTCTCCCCGGGAGTGGTGAACGGAGACGTAGGACGGAAGGTCCGAACTCTGTGATCATATTGTGTGTTTACATTGTTTATTAGCACACTATCACTCTTATTTGTTTATTATTTATTTCACCCTTGTTTATATTGCTTATCCTTGCTAATAACTCATTGCATATCTTATTTGCTAGGATAACTTATTAATTAGTTTTAATTGGCATAAACCAGATTAGATTAGCATAAACCCTATTCACACCCCCCTGCCTGCAGGGTGCTTTCACTCTCATTTCCTTGAGATTACTGGGCAGTCAGAGCTCTTGGATAGCTCGCACCTTGTCTGGGTCGATGTGGGTCCCTTTCGTCGTGACGACGAATCCGAGGAACTTGCCACTCGTCATGCCTAAGAATAACTTTGTAGGGTTCATCTTCAATTAATGGGAGCGCATGAGGTCGAACATAACTCTCATGTCCTAAAGGTGATCAACTTTGTTGCGACTCTTCACGACTAGGTCATCCGCGTAGCATTCGACCGTCTTCCGTAGATGATCTCGAAAAATGGTGCTCATGGCACGTTGATAGGTGGTGTCGGCGTTCTTGAGTCCGAAAGGTATTATTGTATAACAGTATACCCCTACGGGAGTTCTGAACGAGGTGTGCTTCTCATCTTCAGGATGCATTTTGATTTGATCGTACCCTGAAAACCCGTCCATGAAGGACATCCTTTCGAAATGACAGGTATTGTCGATGATGACATCTGTGATGGGCAACGGGAATTCGTCCTTTGGACAAGCAGTATTGAGGTCCCTGAAATCGATGCAGATATGGATTTTTTCGTTCTTCTTCAGAACGGGAACAATGTTAGCCACCCAATCGGGGTGTTGTTCCTCCCTGATGAAGCCTGATTCGATCAATTTCTTCACTTCAGCTTCGATCGTCTCTATGATCTATGGACGAAACCGTCTCTGTTGTTGTTTGACGGGTTTGGCGTCTGAGCCGATGTTGAGGAGATGCATGGCGGTCCGAGGATAAAATTTTCACACTCCACCCCTCACTCTCTATCCCTACTTATAGATGTTAGGTCTCATATTTATGATCCTACTATCTAATCTAGTTTTGTTAATCACCAAAACTAGATTAGATAGTAGGCTCATAAACATGAGGCCTATGTGGACGACTTATTGGTGAAGTCGAAACAAGCGTTCGCCCATATTTCAGACCTAGACGAGAGTTTCTTGCATCTCATGTTTATGAGCCTACTATCTAATCTAGTTTTGATGATTAACAAAACAATTCCTAACAATGTTTGTCGAGTGTATATTTGCTTGTTAGGTATTCTACACAAAGACCTTCTATTGGAGGTTGGTTGGAATTGAGCTTAACGATGATATTCAAAGGAGGTTGGCGGAATTGGAATGAAGCCGTCGCAATTCAAGTCAAGATTCATCATCGCTTCATCCGCAACCAAGACGAGCTAATTGAAGATCTATTGCTTGGGTATAGTAGTTAGGTGTTTACTTTGTGTGTGTATACTTCAAGCTCAAAATTCATACACACACACACATTGGTTTTTGATTTATCGTCGTTTTTAGATTATAGACTTAACAACACGATTTTATATATTTTCTCAAGTCTATAAATCTTTTGAGGTTAACTGTTGAGTGGTTGTTACAATGAATTGATTGTAAATAACATGTTAATTATTTTTAACAGTTTACATATGTACACATGTAATTATGTATGTATGCATGTGTTTCATATACGTATTTATGTAAATTGAAGGGTACTCTAGAAAAAAATGCTTTGACATAACACCACGCTTCAGCGTAACAATACACTTTTTATAAT